CCCCTCATTAGTCTTTATGGCCCCCACCCGCCGCCCAGGGGTGGGGGCCGGAGGGGGGGTGGACAGTAGGTCCCCCCCCTCATTATCAATATGGCCCCCACCCGCCGCGCAGGGGTGGGGGCCGGGGGGGCAGTAGGTCCCCCCCTCATTGTCAATATGGCCCCCACCCGCCGTGCAGGGGTGGGGGCCGGGGGGGGGGAGGAGAGTAGGTCTCCCCCCCCCTTCAACCAATAAGAGTCCCTGTGGGTTTTAAAATTCGCCTGCCCATTGAAGTCTATGGCGGTTCACCCGGTTCACGAAAAATTCACGTTCGCGACATCACTAGCAGGGAGTTCAGTTAGCCTAGGATGGGGCGTGATTGTTCCTGGAACCCTTCTTTGCCTCTCTAAATGGAGAAGTTTCTGTCTGACTCTTATGTCAATATCTGACATGTATTGAATTAACTCTTCAAGGTCTTCTGGTAGATCTCTGGCTGCCACCTCATCTTGTAATGATTCTGTAAGTCCCTCAAAGAAGACAGCTGTCAGGGCACTATTGTTCCAGGTAAGTTCAGAAGCTAAGGTACGGAATTCAATGGCGTAGTCAGCCACTGATCTGAAACCCTGTTTTAATTTCAATAAGGCCTTTGTGGCTAATCTTTCCCTACCCGGAGGGTTGAATACGTTTTTAAAAGTTCTTAGGAATAGATCAAGATCATATACGATGGCATCATCCCTCTCCCATAGATGATTTATCCAGGCTAAGGCTTTACCATCTAACAGATTCATAATAAAAGCTATTTTGGATCTATCGGTGGGAAAAGAATGAGGAGCCATTTCAAAATGTACTCCCACTTGGTTCAGAAAACCTCTGCATAAAGACGGATCCCCGGAGTAACGGGGAGGCGGGATTAAGCGAATGGAAGGATTAGAATGAGGCGTGGATGGTAAAGATACAGTGCTTTGAGCGCCAGCCCCTCTCCTTCTTGCTGGAGATGTGCTGTCCTTGTACGGATAGTTTGCAGTGCTTGAGCAAATTGATCCATTCTATGATCCAAACCCTCCATTCTGCATTCACAGGCTGCCATTTGTTGTCCCAAGTTTGCAGGGTCCATGGCCCTGTCGTAATGTCAAGGTTAGGTTCCCCAACACACTAACTATAGGACTAACAGACAACCCAAGCTAGACGTATTACCAGTCCTTAAAGTGGCCGGACTTAACGTGAAGAAAAGTAAGAATATAACAGAATAATCAGACGAGCCGAGGTCAGGGAAAGAGAAGGAAGAATAAACGAGAAACAAAGCCAAGGGTCAAGGAAGCCAGAAATTACGGATAACCAGAAACAAGCCGAAGTCAGATACCAGGAAACACACAAGTATACAGAACGCACTCTCGGGCTACAATAGACCATGACAGGGCAAGGAAGTGATGTAGGAGGGAGGTATAAATAGGGCTAATAGAGATCTGATAGGCTAGGGAAGAGCATAGGAGATATTATAAAAGGGTTACCAGGATTCATGCAATAATGGTGGTATTGCTTTAAAATTTCAGCGGCATGCCGCACGTGCATGCGTGCGTGCGCTGTCAGTTGGAAGCCGGCAGAGCCTGGAGGAGAAGAGCGGACGGCGGGACCGGAGCAGCGTGGGTCGTGACGAAGTATGACAACAGGCGGTGTGCTCTAGCTGGGAGGTGGAAGGGATCACAATACGAGGAGAAACATTCAAAATCTCGGCATATGCCGATGACATACTCCTAACGCTAACCAACCCAGAACACTCCCTCACCCCCCTTCTCACCATCATACACGAATACTCCGAACTCTCAGGGTATAAGATCAACTTAACTAAATCCGAACTTCTACCGATAGAAATAGAACCCCAGAGCTTAACTAGAATCAAACAAATAGTCCCACTGCGAATCTGTCATACAAATATAACGTATCTTGGGATTAACCTACCTGCAGACACGAACACCCTATGTGCAAAAAACTACACTTCGGAGAGCCCACGAGGACTTGATAAAGTGGAGACCTCTGGGAATCTCCTGGCTGGGTTGCATCGCCGCCATCAAAATGAACCTTCTTCCCAGACTCCTGTACCTCTTCCAAACACTCCCAATACTAATCCACAAACAAGACTTCAAAACCCTACAATCAGCAATAGACACATTTATCTGGAATGGTCGCAAACCAAGAGTGCGCAGGAGCACTCTATATGTACCCAAAAAATGCGGAGGCTTAGGACTATCTCATCTAGCACATTACCACTCAGCAGCACACTTGGCGCAAATACAACAATGGCATGTTCCACCTGGGAAAAAACGATGGGTGGACCTAGAACACCTGATATTCGTCTGGGACCATTCATCCCTATACATGTGGACACCTAAACCACACAGGCTCTTACCCCCCACGACCGCACCCGCGATCACTCACGCACTTGACCTCTGGGACAAGATGAGAGACAAATTCGAATTATCCTCCTACCTCTCCCCCATGACCCCAATCTGGAGGAACAAACTATTCCCACCTGGACTAGTCCCTAAACACTTTGCCCACTTCGAACAAAGAGACAAATCAAGACTAAGACACATTTACCAAAACGACACCATCATACAATTCACAGAAATTAAAGACTCATCCTCCCTCACAACCTTTGACCACTTTCGATACATACAACTATGCAGCTTCGCATCAACCCCGATTATAAAACAAGCCGGTATAGCCCCACTCACTCACTTTGAACAGGACTGCACAAAGCATCCCAATAGGCAAGGGCAAATCTCCGACATGTACATGACTATAGCCAACCACCACACACACAACTATCCCTCCCATTCATAGCAGCATGGGAAACAGACTTAGGCCCTCAGAGGACGCCGCCGACTGGTCAGACATCTGGGAAGCGACAGCATCCATATCAATATGCTAAAGGACCCATTGCTCCCTTTGCTCTGAAATATATCAGCCATCATCTTGTGGCCTGTTAATAACTGAAAAGTACGTCTCAAAAAGTTGGATTCTTTAGTGCGGAGAGACTTTACCTATTATATGTCAGGCTGCCCTTACAAATGGAAGCAGCCTTATGCACTGTTTATTTTATGTAATGGAACAAGTGAGCTGAGACTCTTTGAGGAACTGTAACTAACATTTTGATGTCATCTCAATGCACAAAGAACAGGCATACAAGATGCTATTCTGCTGGTACCTAACACCACAACGCCTAGCCACTATGCACCAAATATTGACCAACACTTGCTGGAAACAATGCGGGGAAAAGGGCACGTTCCTACATTGCTGGTGGACGTGTCCAAAGCTCCGACCACTCTGGCATAGCATCACACAGTTGATCGCCAAAATACTGGGAAAACCCTGCCCCTCACACCCCTGGGCACTTCTACTTTCCAAGCCAATAGACACATTCACCAGAGCCAAAAACAAACTAATAGCCCGAATAGCCCTGGCAACCAGAAGAGCCATAGCAGAACTATACATGATTCACCCAAACAGTACCACAAGAGATGGGACCCATGAGGGAGATACAACCATACCATGGTAAAACTTACAAACGAACACACTAGCACCACAAAAGAAAACCTGGGACACCAACACACACCTGCATAGGCAGTCACAGAACACAAACATCCCCGCAACACACAGCTTACCCTACAACCCACGCGGGAGAGGTGCTGAGCCCCCGGGCAGCCCGCGGACCGTCACCTAATCCCACATACCCGAACCTACCAATCCCAAAACCCACCCCACTCGCCCCCACGTACAACTACAAAGCAGGATACAAAAGCGTTCCAGATAGACATAGGAAGGCAGACATCACCACAACGACAAAATGCTGGTACCCTACACTACCCAAACGCAAGGTTGCGACACTAGAAAGAGCAAAAAGACATGCAACACTATGACTAAGGACACGCCATGCAACGACCCCAACCATAACACCGTTAGGAGCATTTACCTATGCAAACATACCACAACACGGGATAACAGTCCCTGCAAGAGTACCTACCACATCAAGCATTCACCACACATTATTATTATTATTATTGCCATTTATATAGCGCCAACGGATTCCGTAGCGCTTTACAATATTTTATCTATGTTCAGACAACGCAGTGATTGAACAACAAACCTCATGGAAACTTTAGCAACGTAAATATACGATACAACCAATCACGCAAAAACATAATATGTAAAAATGTAACCAATGTTGACATCACTGCCTGACAAAGTACCCTGCGGTGGTACCCAAAACCAATACTGTAAAATGAATCAGACTACCTGTACCCACCTACTCCTTCTTTTCTGTACCCCCTCCCTTCTCACCCATATCAATGCAAAATTACACAAATAAAGATTTTTTTTTTAAAAAAAGGACCACTATAGTCACCCAGACCACTTCAGCTCAATGAAGTGGTCTGGGTGCCACATCCCCCAGGTTTTAACCTTACAGCTGTAAACATAGCAGTTTCAGAGAAACATTGCAGGGTTAATCCAGCCCCTAATCTTCCTGGCAGCCGCTAGAGGTGCTTCCCAGACGCTCAATGCGACAATCGCATTGAGCACGCAGAACGTCCATAGGAAAGCATTGAGAAAGGCTTTCCTATGGGCGTTTTTAATGCGTGCGCGCTCTGGCCGCGCATGCGCATTCGGCTCCACTTGCTAGTCGACGTCGGAGGGGGAGGAGAGGTCACCAGCGCCGAGGGAGCCAGGCACTGGATAAAGGTAAGTGGCTGAAGGGGGAGACCTAAGGATTATATAGTGTCAGGAAAACGAGTTTGTTTTATAGTGGTCCTTTAAATGTAGTAGCTACCCTAATTGTGAAAGAGGAAACATGGCTGAAGATATATATTGCAACAATCTCAAATTGTGTATTTATGCTGCAACAGCAGTTGTGCGGTGAAAGGGTTAAGCCTTGTTCTCCCAGAGTTAATTTACTTATCAGGTGGGTGTATTTCACCTGGCCTATAAAGCATGTGATGAGAGTAGTATCTCAATATGACATCAGTTTTAGATTTAGTGTTGTTTGGATAGACTTTTGTTGAGATTTCATTGCAGTCATGGTAAGATATTTGTAAGAGTGGTTTGCATTACTGCTGACTATTTTGTGATGATGAGTATTTTTTATACATATTTATTATTCATATAACATAATTATCTAACTCTTATAGCAAGCTAGATATGTTTTACTTCTGTTATATTTATTTTAATGTGAAATGGGAGCCCTGGCAGTGAGCACTAGGGATCAGCTCTTCCCCCTGATTGCTTTCCTAGTCTTCTAATAATCTAAAAGCAATTTGAGGTGTCTTGGGATGCCTGTTGGCAGAATGTTGTGGAAGTGATTTGTACCTTAACTCTCAGTTCCCTCCATGCTTGTTGTGACTTAAATGAATATTAAAGGGTCAGTAATACACATGTATATTCCTGACCCTATAGTGGTTAAAAATGCTACTTGGGTTGCTGACTTCACCTCCTCCCTTTTCTCCCCTTAAGTAGGGTAAAAACTCACCTTTTTATTCCAGCGCTGGCCTTACACCCCTTCGCTGTCTTTTATTGACAGTCAATCAGACTTGACTCTCAGTCAATCCAATGCTTTCCCATAGGAAAGTACTGAGAGGCTAATGCTCATGCATGGCAACATGTCACGGGGCACCAATCACCATCTCCTGATTCAATGCATCTCTATGGGAAAATTTTGTTGAGATGGCACTGGTGTCAGTGGAGTTATGGCACAATTTGACCTCCTAACCCCTCCCATTTTACAAAGTAGAAATAGAAATTGTCTTTTATCAATGAACCTCCTTTACACTTCCCCTTTGCTGCAAATTCAACAGGTCCTGTGACTTCCTGATTTTGTTGGCTCAGTGGAGCTAGCCTTAAAGGACCACTATAGTGCCCTGAGGGTGCCCCCACCCTCAGGGACCCCCTCCTGCTGGGCTCTGGGGAGAGGAAGGGGTTAAACACTCACTTTTCTCCAGCGCCGGGCAGGGAGCTCTCCTCCTCCTCCTCCTCCTCCTCTTCCGCTGAATGCGTGGCAGGAGCTGCGCGCGCATTCAGCCGGTCTAATCGGAAAGCATTTACAATGCTTTCCTATGGACGCTGGCGTCTTCTCACTGTGATTTTTTTTTTAACAGTGAGAAGCACGCAAACGCCTCTAGCGGCTGTCAATGAGACAGCCATTAGAGGATTTGGAGGCTGGATTAACCCTATTATAAACATAGTTTCAGTGAAACTGCTATGTTTATATAAAAAGAGGTTAACCCTAGCTGGACCAGGCACCCAGACCACTTCATTAAGCTGAAGTGGTCTGCGTGCCTAGAATGGTCCTTTAAGAAGCCGCAATTACTCATAGCGCCTGCCTGCCTCATTGAGTTGCATTTGTAAGTTTGATATAAGACTGTCACAGAGTCTGGGCTGGGTTAGGAGAGGGCCTGCAAGGACTGCAGCTCTTCACAAGCTGTTTTAGACATGCTTCCAAATAGTAAATGCATACATATTTTCATTGGGTGGGGAATGTATCAAGTTTACAGTGGGTTGTGGAGTGTCCCTTAACCCGTTAAGGACCAAACTTCTGGAATAAAAGGGAATCATGACATGTCATGTGTCGTTAAAAGGATGCTATAGTCACTGAGACCAGTGATGTATTTTGAGTCTTTGCTGCTCTAGCCATGATGGAACCTGGGCACACCGTTATTTAAACTTGCAACATCTATTTACTGTTAAAGAATAACACTCTGATAGGCACACACATCCACGTACACGCTCACTCACTCACACACAGACATACAGACTCACTGACGGGCAGCCACACACACATCAGGTTCATAGACAGCACTCACTCATGTAATTGAGTGTTCTAGATCTTTTCTTAGCTATCTAGCAATGTGGATAAGAAACTCCTGGCTCTATTGTCTTCAAACCAGTTCCTTTCTGGAGCACCAGTTCCCCTTTGTAGATTTAAGAGTCCACCATGTTTAGCTGGACACATGTCATGCTACATAGTAGAGTAAGAAAAAAAAAATTATATAGTGGCTCAGTATGACCGCCACTACAGGTACTTCCTCTGCACTGACTAAGTCAGTCCATGATGTGGAAGGCCCCATAGGAAAGCATTGACTTAGTGCATGATGTGCATTACCTCAGTCTGCATAACATTGTATGATACCATCATGGAGGAGACCAATTGGGTTAGGCTCATGGGACATAACACCAATGGGCACAAGGACAGACACTATAGGATTATAAATACAGGTCTGTACAGATCTCTGTAAGCAGTCCATGCTGTCTAGGTCCTACAGAAGGGTATTGCAGGAAGATGTCTCACCATTCTATGACAGCAGCTTGTATCTAGTCAGGGGAGTGCTGCCCACAAGTAGTGTAGGTGGGAGCTCTGTGGAAGGGGCCTGCTGTCACCATGAACAACACTGAAGTCAACAGGGTCATGGAAAAAATATTTAAGAATAAGATACATTTCAGCTGTGAGGCCTCTGACTATTTTTGAGCAGCCTGCATCTGTCAAATGTGGTGGTTCAAGAGTTAATATCATTCACATAGATGAGTTTCATGTGCTAAAAAGAACACTTGTTTTTTTGCTTACCTGTTGGCATAAAACTTACCAGCCCTACCCTGTTAAATGCTTTCTGTTGCATCCCTCTTTCTGAAAATCACGACTCATGAAAATAAGATGGCTGAAATGTGGTGCAAACTCTGCATGAAAAATGGTTGTGTCCCCCCTCATAATTAAAGGACCACTAAAATGGCCTAGACTAATCTAAATGATGTCCTTTGCTAACCCTGCAATGTAAAATATCCAACTTTGTATACATTGGAAGATAGCCACTAAATGTGTTTAACCCTGCACACAGCTAATAGAGGTGCTTCATGAGCAAGTAGGTGACCAAATCCTGCTCCTAGGAAAGCATTGAATTAAAAAGCTATCCTATGAGTAGCATTTGACTGGATGTATGAAACATCTTCCCCCGAACATACGTCAGGTCCCCAGTGCTCTCATTTTGGGAGCATTGGATGCAACACCTCATTTACAACATTGTAAGAGGCAGTGGTAGAAGCACTGCAGGAGTCTCTGGTCTATACAGTAGATGTAATCTGAACCACTTGTTTTACTTATTTGTATTTCACATGGCATAGGACAGAACAGGTTTTGGCCTCCCCCAATATGATTATTTTTAACCCAAAACTTCCAATTCACTCTCAGACTGATGTGTGAATGTTGTGCATGGGTTTTTGGCTTAAACTTGCACCTTGTTTCTTTAAGACTTGTAGTTCTTGTGTGTGTTTTTTTTTTTAAACACTGAAATCCTTATGTATGTTTTAAATGTACAGCATACTCTAGTGATCTTAACCCCTGTTAATTAAACTTTCATCAATTTGAAGGTTTGTTTGCTTAAACAAATCATAAAGATGTCCTTCAGGGATTCTATAAATATCTTAGAGTCCAGAATTTTAATACCATACCTCCCAGTAATTCTGGTATAATAAATATTCCCTTAAATGGATTCAGTTATATCTAGCTGAATTTGTTTAATGGTCATAGTGGGGTTTTTTTTTTTTTTCAAACTTTAAGCCTTTCTCCACCTAGGAAGGTCTAACAATTCATACAGTTTCCCAACTGAATTTATGGATAACTATCTGCTTATTTGTCATAAATCTGCCATAAGAATTGGGTGTTCTGATTGACCCCCTATTTCCTCAGTCCCTCACAAAATAAATATTGTGCTCATGCAATTTGTGTAGGGGTCTTGCCCATCTCTCCAGCCTTTATGGACACTGTAGGCACCCAGACAGTGGCGTACCAGACCCCTTCAGTTCATTGAAGTGGTCTGGGTGCTGTACTGCAATGTTTACACTGCAGCTTAGTCTGCCCTCGGGTGTCCCCCAGACGGTCACTGGGGGCACTTCTAGAATCAAATACAACCTTTAGTCTCATATTGGGCAGACTAGATGGGCCGAATGGTTCTTATCTGCCGTCACATTCTGTTTCTATGACGCTGGATGTCCCGTATCAGATTTTCCCCATAGAAAAGCATTGAATAATGCTTTCCTTTGGGGAGGTCTAACGCGCATGCACCCAGTGCTGTGCATGCACATTAGGTCTCCAATGCTGGCAAGGGAGGAGTGTGGGTGGAGCCTGACCCAGTACTGTGGCTCTGAAGTCAGGTAAGTGATGGGACTTTAACCCCCTTCAACCACATAGGTGGGTGGGCGTGAGGGAGGCAGGCACCTTTAAGTTACTAGTGTTCAAAGTGTCTCCAAGATACTTTTATTTTTTTTTCACCCAACTTGAGGTAAATGCTCACAATCTTGCTAGAAGTTCTAAATGCTATAATAGTGTCTTCTCAACTACATGTGGCTTACTAAAGAACACCAAGAACCATAACCACTACATACTGCTGTAGAGGTTATGGTGCCAGGAGAAACCCAGCAGTAAGACTATCTTAGAACAGGTTCTACAACCTGTTTTCTGCATGCCCTGGAGCTTGAGGTCCCTTCTATTGGTTCCAATGAGCAAAGCCCTGCCAAGCAGGGCTTGGCTAGTTGGCTGGCTAGGGGCATCTGCTGAATCTGCACATTACAGAAGCTTCTAGAGTCAAAGGTGGTTGTGTGCTCCCAGCAAACATCACCAATAATAGTTGTTTAACTACTTTCTGTGGGAGTGTCAGGAAACACTGGCATAACACTACCAAAAGCTGTTGGTTTTAAATGGCACTGGTTCAATGATAGCAGCATAAAAATAAATCCTTTCTTGAACTATCCTATCTTTCACTGTATTTCAGAGAGAATGTATATCTGTCCACGTTGGCCAAGCCGGAGTCCAAATGGGAAATGCCTGCTGGGAGCTGTACTGCTTGGAACACAGACTTCAGCCTGATGGCATCATTTCGACTGAAATGGCTGAGTCACTGGTGGATTCATCATTTGGCACTTTCTTCAGTGAGACTGGGTCAGGGAAACATGTGCCTAGAGCTGTGCTAATTGACTTGGAAGAAACTGTGATAGGTAATGTACTGTTATAAGGGAACTACACTGGCTGTTATCATCAAGCTTGGGTAGGGGAGACTCTAGAAGAGCCTTCACCTGGCAGAGGTGAAGTCAAAGGGCCTCTGCAGCAACACCAGGGAATATGCTGCCCCCTCCTTGGATGCTGGTTAGAAATACAGGGAGGAAAATTAAATTAACAAATGCCCATATCCTATCCAGTAAACCATGCATCTTACACATGTACACAAACACTGCTTGCATCACTTAGACATAAACGCACCTCATCCACTAGATACACACTTGCTCCTTTACAGTCACACACTGCATATACAAACTATCCCTATGCACTACATTTCACAAGCACCCATAACACATCCACTCACTTTGAGCAAACTCATGGGTGTGCCTTACAGGCAGACACCAGGGCCTTGAGCTGTGAGGGGGCCAAACATTTCTGATGGCAGCTCTGCTTAGTGGGGACTCTAGCCCTGCAGTGGTTGCAATGGAGTGCAGGGACACTCTATGCACCAGCACAACTACATTAACTTTTTTAAATAAAATTGTAAAGAAAACATTAAGAGGAAATAGGGTGGTTTTTTTTTTGTTTTTTTTTTAACAATGCTGGGGGGAAAATAACCTATACCTTGTATTAACAGCTTATTTGACCCGCAATGTATTTAAAGTTGTTAAAAAAAATAAAAAAATAAAGGGACATAATCTCATTGAACTAGTTATAGCATCTGGAGTCCTTCTATTTTCCCTCTGTTCTGTCGAGCAGCTCCACACTGAATAAAGGTCCTTGGCTGTCCAACCCCTTCTCTAACCGTGCTAATGCTTCAGGCTCTGCCAGTTGAGCAATGGTTGACAGTGATGGGCTAAATCATCTGAAAGCAGTCAGACTATCAAATATTGGAAGTGTAGAATGCTCTTAAATCACATACTAGATTTAAAATGCATTAACTGAAACTAGTCTAGATTTACCTGTTGCTGTCAGAAATAGAGTGCCTGACTACACTGTGTATGTTATATACAATATGTAAATTGACCAGCACTCAATCTATTGACTTGGACACTTGGCGTTTACACTACCAACGTGTTAGAGAATATTTCCTAATTCTGCATTTAGTTTAGGCAATCCCTGGACTTTAAAGGCTTTATTTACCCTAAACTGGGGGGAGTGTTCTTAAACTTTGTGGCTCCTCAACTGGTTGGTTGCTTTAACTAAAAGCCAACTTTATTTACTTTTTTTACTCAGATGAGATTCGGACAGGAACATATCGATCACTGTTTCATCCTGAACAACTAATTACAGGGAAGGAAGATGCAGCAAACAACTATGCTCGTGGTCATTACACAATTGGCAAAGAATTAATAGATTCAGTTCTTGACCGGATTCGAAAAATGGCAAGTAACATGGCTTACAAGCTCTGCCCTAGAATCAGTGTAGTTAATATTAGAAAATATACCAATGGTGCAGAAGGGGGTTAATAACCCACCCACTTCCCGTCGACCCCCTGCAGGGGAGACCTAATGCACGGCAACTGCTGCCATTTACATTAGGGTTTCCCCGTAGGAAACATTCAATGCTTTCCTATGGGGATCCGGTCACTCTGCAAGTACTCAAGTATAGTGTGAGTACGTCCAGCATCATTTAGGCAACTAGAAGTCCCTCTAGTGTCTTTCTGGTAGACAGCCACTACAGAAGTTAACCCAAGCAGGTAATTGCAGTTTACAAAAACTGCAATAATTACATGTTAAGAGTGATGGGAGTTTGCACCCAGCTCACTTCAATGAGCTAGTGGTCTAGGTGCCTAGTGTCCCTCTAACTTGTATGTAGCAAGGTGGGTATAAGACATACTGTGTGGGTTTTTTCCCATGTTCTGTGCTGTAAAGTAGGGTGGGTCATGTGGTGTAGTTGGTTATCCCCACCTCTGACATAAACTTGAATACTTTCCACATGTGGCTAAAATAAACCTTGTTATGTCTTCACAGGCTGACCAATGTAGTGGTCTTCAAGGATTCTTGGTCTTCCACAGTTTTGGAGGTGGTACAGGTTCAGGATTCACATCACTGCTGATGGAGCGTCTTTCTGTTGACTATGGCAAGAAGTCCAAACTTGAGTTCTCGGTCTATCCTGCTCCAAGGATCTCCACTGCCGTGGTTGAACCTTATAATTCCATCCTTACAACACACACAACTCTAGAACATTCAGACTGTGCATTTATGGTGGATAATGAGGCAATTTATGATATCTGCAATCGTAACTTGGACATTGAACGTCCTTCTTATACCAATCTGAACAGACTAATTGCACAAATAGTTTCTTCAATTACAGCCTCACTAAGATTTGATGGTGCACTGAATGTGGATCTAACAGAGTTCCAAACCAACCTGGTGCCATATCCAAGAATCCATTTCCCATTAGTTACTTATTCACCCATTATATCGGCAGAGAAAGCTTACCATGAACAGCTGTCTGTTCCAGAAATCACCAATGCATGCTTTGAATATTCAAATCAGATGGTGAAATGTGATCCTCGTCGTGGAAAATACATGGCTTGCTGCCTTCTATACAGAGGTGATGTGGTGCCCAAAGATGTTAATGCAGCAATAGCTGCAATTAAAACCAGGAGGAGCATCCAGTTTGTAGATTGGTGTCCTACTGGGTTTAAAGTGGGAATAAACTACCAGCCCCCAACTGTGGTTCCAGGGGGAGACTTGGCTAAAGTTCAGCGTGCTGTATGTATGCTGAGTAACACCACTGCTATTGCAGAGGCCTGGGCCAGGTTAGATAATAAGTTTGACCTCATGTACTCAAAGAGAGCCTTTGTACATTGGTATGTTGGAGAGGGAATGGAGGAAGGAGAGTTCTCTGAGGCAAGAGAGGATATGGCTGCATTAGAAAAGGATTATGAAGAGGTGGGAACAGAATCTGTTGAAGCTGGAGATGAAGAGGAGGAAGAATATTAAAATGCTACTCTTGTGAACATTGTGTGCAATATGTGATCTACTTGTCATATTCTACTGAAGTCAGAACTTTCATTGAACCCATAAATGTGTTTTCTTAAACTGCATTCATGCTCTTTTCAGATCAATAAAAAAATGAACATTTAGATGTTTCATATGTGCATCTGCAGTCTTTTTCTATTCTACTTTTTTGTGCATCATTCTACAATGGCTTGAGATTTCTCAGTCAACCCATTCTATATTTACTAGGGGAGTCCAGGAGAATTCAGTCTTAAACTTTAAAAAAAAAAATCTGAATCTAAGACCTAGATCTGTCCTCCTGTAAGAATCACTTTCTAATAGTGTTCATGGATGACAGCTTGTTTGTTCCTGCTAATAGGCTCACAAATAGTGTTTTTTTTTTTGTTTTTTTTTGTTTTTTTTTTACTGACACTCTAGCGATCCGTATAGTGATATCCAGTATCCTCCTCACATAAGGCTATAAATGCCAACAAAAATATAAGTAGATGGTGGATATCTAGTAGAACAGAACTATACACCTTAACTTTGTGGTCTGCAATACATGACTTCCATCAGTGGCTCTTCCCAGAAACCAGTGATTAAATTTTCTATTTTTTTTTTTTTCTGTATTCCACATGTAGCCCAACTTTCAGATGGAGAAAAATACATTCTAAATCTGTTACTGTATACTGGGTACACATTAGATTGAAAAAAGATGACTTCTGTTAGTCGCATGTTTTGCCTCTATGACATGGAGTTTGCATGTCAAGAAATCCCTACCTGCTCCAACAAACAGGCAATGCATATCTGGTCTAGCAATGTGCCAGTGGCACTTGGGTCGCTAAATGGTCTGACTATATTTAGAGGATATATTTGAAGTAATGCAGATTGGGAGCAGCATTTGTAAGACCAGAGTTAAATAGTAACTTTACAAAATTGATCTACATATACTTCAGGTAAGCTTGGCACCATATCAGCGCAAATGCTGTAGTTATGGTGCTCGGCATGGTGTCTATTACCATGGTTTGGGGACAAGTGATAAGGAAGAGTTTTGGGAAAATACTGGTTACCCTGTGCAATGTTAAAGGGACACCAGGCACCCAGATCACTTCATATCATTGAAGCGGTCAGTGTCCCTGCCCTCCTTAGTAGTGTAATATAAAACATTTAAAAAAACAACCTTTCAGATTGCAGTACTAGGACTCACAGGTGTGCGCACAGGGTGAACCTGGACCCACCCTAATGTAAGATGCCCAGGACAGTCCTGTATTTTGTGGGTCTCTCCTGGGCACCTTAATTCCAGGATAATGTAATGTCCTGGGCCCCATATTGGTGAAGAGGGTGCCCTGTGGGTGGAGATGTGAGCAACAACCCTCTCTCAGTGCTGTGAGGTCACATGTGATGACATCACTTCCTCCTAGCACACTTTGTAGGTTGCGTGGTAGGAAGGAGAGGAGCTCCCAGGACCAGGTAAGTGCATGGAATGAGGGAAGGGGGTGAAACCTTTATCATGGACATACTAGTGATTCCATGATAAAGACTTCACACACCCCCAACCCCTTCCTCTCAGTGAGTCTGTAGTAGGGGGTGGAAATTAAAGTTCAATGCTTATGCTAAAGCTGCCTCTAGTGGTTGTCGACCAGACAGCCCCTAGAGGCACTTTGTTTCAGTTAGACTCTGTGAAACAACTCTGGACATACTCACTCTGCATGAGGACAACCCGCGTCAGAACACCATAGGAAAGCATTAATGCAATGCTTTCCTATGAGGAAGGCCTTATGCGTGCACACTATTTGCCGCACATGTGCATTAGGCAGTGGCGTACTAAGGGGGGGGCGGGGGGGGCGGTCCGCCCCGGGTGCCAGCCGGGTGGGGGGTGCCATGGCCAGCCCCCCCGCCCCGCTCATGCTGCAGCCGCCCGAGCGCTCTGTATTGAGCCTCAGGCGGCTGCAGCTTTGCCCGGGCGGTGCGTCCATGAGGGCGGACCGCACCGCCCGGGCGCAGCCTGAGGAGAGAGGCTGACAGGAGG